TATGATTTTGTTGTTAATTTTTTTTTTTTAATTAGAATGAATTTAAGGCACTAGATACTACCAATATAAAAATTATTTTTTTTTACATTTTCAGCTTTACACTAATGATAATTTAGTGTGAAAATGTGCTTAGAAAATCTTGTTAGTCCAGAAAATACAGTATGCTTCATTTTCATTGTTTTTTTTTTCGTTTTGTTTTTTGTTTTTTCAATTTTGGGGTGAAATATAACCCGCACATATTTTTGACAGACTTTGTAGTATTCATGCAATCACACCATAACGAGGCAGAAATTATTTTCACAAACAGAGACGTATGACTAGGTGTGTTGTTTTGAGGTTTTTGCACTTGTTAATGAGAATGTGTTTTCTGTACTTTTAGCCAAAATTAATGACATTGTGATGGCCACCTATCGCATACTGAAAACCAAGCTGCCCATCACCTTACAGAGCTTGTCTTTATATCTGGCCAATAAGGACACAGAGTTCATCCTGTTCAAGCCCGTCAGGGTGAGTATCATGCCTGTCTTCTTTTCTTAGTATTGTTTATAAGTCTGTATTTCTTAAACCTAATCATAAAATACTAATTATGTAATCAAGTCTGTGTTTTTACTGACCTTTTGCTAAACTTTGCTCCCTTTGGTTACTGACACAGTCAAGCTGTACAGAACATCCCATAGAAATACACTGTAGAGTTTCAGTATCATTACTGTACTATCTTAGTATTTATTAAAAAGAAAAGTAGTACTTATTCATTTGTTATTTGAGTGTAATGATGATATTAGTATTTATTAATATTTGAATTCATAACTTTTAGTAGTTTTGTTGGGTGTTTTAGTTGTTTTTTTAAGATTTTAGTATTTTAGTAATTTTAGTACTTATTTTATTTTAGTTAGTTGTGACAGCAAAACTTCTCGTTTTCGTTTAATTTGTTTTTTTCTCTGTATTCTATTTTATTTCCGTTAACATTTAATGTATTTCAATTAATGTATTTTTTTTTGGTATTTTTAGTTTTTGGTCTTAGTTAACAATAACAACACCGTTTTCAGCCTGAAAATCCAGTTTAAAAGCTTCCAAACACACTGATAGGATGTTTGGAGAAAGCGCAAAACGTTTGTCTTATAGAATGGTAAATAGCAACGGTTGCTAAGGTAGGATCAGTCATTAACTTTTTAAGGCGGAGCTAAGCAAAGAGTCAATTGCCCATAATGCAATACTCACCCAGCAGGATAATGATATCCAGTCAATCTTATGCTGTTTCAGAACAACGTCCAGCAGGTGTTCCAGAGACTGCATGCGTTACTGCAGGAGGAGTACAGCGGCGAAGACCTGCAGATCATCGCATGTCCCTCCATGGAACAGGTGCTTATCACACCCCGCTAACACAAATATATTCAGAGAATGTTTTTCCAACGTTCCCATCAAGTTATGAAAATGTTACTTCTAAATAACATTCAAAACATTACATTTTTTGGTTGTGTGAACATGAGAGAAAACAGTAAGGGAACGTTCCATTTTATCATTTCGCAAACATTGTAGAAATGTTACTTTTGAGTTTTCTAAGATCCGTCTAATTAGTAGTAACTAGTTAGTACCAACTAGATAGTAAAAACGTTTAGAGAACGTTATCAAAGATCAGATAACTTTGAGGGAACGTTCTACTCGCGTTACAGGATGCATGTTTGTTTGTAACTTTGAGAGATGATTTTGTACTAACGTTTAGAGAACATTATTAAACATTTTGGGAATGTTACATTTGAAAGTTCACTGAACCATTTGAAGCCAGTAAATAGTAACGTTTAAAAAAGGTTCGACAAACGTCCAACTAAAATGTTTCAGAAAAATGTTCCATGAACAATGTATAAATGTTTTTGTGCTGACGTTTTGAGAACGTTATTATTGTAGACCAGATAACTTAGAATGAACATTCTATTAACGTTACTAGAAAAAGTTTATTTATTTTTTTTAGATTTATTTTTGGCGTTTTTTGCCCTTATTAGGATAGGATAGTATGTAGACGTGAAGCGAAGTGGGGGAGAGAGGGGCGACGGGATCAAACTCTATTGGCGCCAACACTAGAAACATTTTTGTTCATAACTTTTAAGAAAAATGTTCCTTGAACAATGTATAAATAATGTTTTTGCGGTAACGTTTTGAGAACATTATTAAAAACCAGATAATTTTGAACAAACATTCCATTAACGTTACTGGACGAATGTTTATAACCTTTTGTACTAACGTTTAGAGAACATTATTAAACATTTAGGGAATATTCCATTTTATCATTTTGCAAACATGGGAATGTTACTTTTGAGTGTTCTCTGAACAGTAACTAGCTAGTAGTAAAGTTTAAAAAATGTTAGATGAACGTCCAACTAAAATGTTTCAGGAAAATATTCCATTATCAATTGTAACTTTGAGAGAATATGATGTATAAATAATGTTTTTGCGGTAACGTTTTGAGAACATTATTAAAAACCAGATAATTTTGAACGAACGTTACTGGACGAATGTTTATAACTTTTTGTACTAACGTTTAGATAACATTATTAAACGTTAAGGGAATATTCCATTTTATCATTTTGCAAACATTTTGGGAATGTTACTCTGAACAGTAGTAAAGTTTAAAAAACATTAGACCAACATCCAATTAAAATGTTTAAGAAAAATTTTCCATGAGCGATGTATAAATGTTTTTGTGCTAACGCTTTGAGAACATTGTTATTATTATTATTATTATTAAAGATCAGATAACTTATAATGAGTGTTCTACTAATGTTACTGGGAAAATTTTCATAACTTTTAGAGAAAATGATGTATAAATAATGTTTTTGCGGTAACATTTTGAGAACATTGTTAAAGGTCCCATATTGTCAAAACTGAAATTTCCTGGCTTTGTTCATGATAACTGAGGTCTAGGTGCTATGTAACTACCATATAAGATTCAAAACAGTCAGTCCACAGTAAAATGCACACAGCCTGCATAAAGTAGCTGTGATTTTTCACGAATCGTTGTGACTTCCGTAAAAAGTTGACGTCAGAACTACCCCGTCACCGCCTTCAGTCACCCCCCCCCGAGCACCGCCCACCGTCCCACTCTCCTTTAGCCAAACCCCCAGATAAATGTTTTTGTGCTGACGTTTTGAGAACGTTATTATTGTAGACCAGATAACTTAGAATGAACATTCTATTAACGTTACTAGAAAAAGTTTATTTTTTTTAGATTTATTTTTGGCGTTTTTTGCCCTTATTAGGATAGGATAGTATGTAGACGTGAAGCGAAGTGGGGGAGAGAGGGGCGACGGGATCAAACTCTATTGGCGCCAACACTAGAAACATTTTTGTTCATAACTTTTAAGAAAAATGTTCCTTGAACAATGTATAAATAATGTTTTTGCGGTAACGTTTTGAGAACATTATTAAAAACCAGATAATTTTGAACAAACATTCCATTAACGTTACTGGACGAATGTTTATAACCTTTTGTACTAACGTTTAGAGAACATTATTAAACATTTAGGGAATATTCCATTTTATCATTTTGCAAACATGGGAATGTTACTTTTGAGTGTTCTCTGAACAGTAACTAGCTAGTAGTAAAGTTTAAAAAATGTTAGATGAACGTCCAACTAAAATGTTTCAGGAAAATATTCCATTATCAATTGTAACTTTGAGAGAATATGATGTATAAATAATGTTTTTGCGGTAACGTTTTGAGAACATTATTAAAAACCAGATAATTTTGAACGAACGTTACTGGACGAATGTTTATAACTTTTTGTACTAACGTTTAGATAACATTATTAAACGTTAAGGGAATATTCCATTTTATCATTTTGCAAACATTTTGGGAATGTTACTCTGAACAGTAGTAAAGTTTAAAAAACATTAGACCAACATCCAATTAAAATGTTTAAGAAAAATTTTCCATGAGCGATGTATAAATGTTTTTGTGCTAACGCTTTGAGAACATTGTTATTATTATTATTATTATTAAAGATCAGATAACTTATAATGAGTGTTCTACTAATGTTACTGGGAAAATTTTCATAACTTTTAGAGAAAATTATGTATAAATAATGTTTCTACGGTAACGTTTTGAGAACATTGTTAAAGACTTTGAACGAACATTCTACTAATGTTACTGGGAAAATTTTCATAACTTTTAGAGAAAATGATGTATAAATAATGTTTTTGCGGTAACATTTTGAGAACATTGTTAAAGGTCCCATATTGTCAAAACTGAAATTTCCTGGCTTTGTTCATGATAACTGAGGTCTAGGTGCTATGTAACTACCATATAAGATTCAAAACAGTCAGTCCACAGTAAAATTCACACAGCCTGCATAAAGTAGCTGTGGAGGGTGTGACGTCGCTGACCCTAGTTACCTGTGGTTGGCCTGGCCGTGTGTCACTCAGAAAACAACAGGCCAATCAGAAGAGAGGCTCATGAATATTAATTAGACAGGCCAAAATCGACCTGTTCTCAGCAGAGCTCCTGAGAGAGGAGCTGTAAAAATATATTGAGATGGTTTTTGGTACTTATACCGCAAATATATATTCTTAAGGACATCAAGACTTAAAATAAAACTCCAGAAAGGTGTAAAATATGTGTGACCTTTAAAGACTTTGAACGAACATTCTACTAATGTTACTGGGAGAACTTTCAAAACTTTTAGAGAAAATGATGTATAAATAATGTTATTGTTTAGAGAACGTTATGAAAGACAAGATAACTCTAAACGAGCGTTCTGTTAGCGTTACTGAAGAAAATCCGTTCATAATTTTGAGAGAATCTTTCTGAGAATGTTTCCTGTTAGCTAGGAGAGCTGTAAATATCCATTTTATAATCAGGTCAAATAAGTACATTTGTATGATGTAAATTGAATCTTTCTTTGTCTCCCGCCATCTAGATAAATCTGCTGCTGTCTGTGAAATAGCTCTGGACTCAGTGAACAGTGAAGTTCTTCCACACTCGGACCACGTCAGTGTTGGGAAAAGAGTCAGAGATTATTCCCAAACCTTCCAGAAGATTCTGGAGATAAACACGTCTTTATATCTAAAGACAGACACTGAACACACGAAAGACGCTCCCCTGCAGGTGCTTGATCCGGTTCTTCTGTTTAGCATTGATACGAAATCAGTTTGTACAGATTGAAATGAAACTGCATCTGTGCTGAAGGTGTGAGCTCAGTCACAAACACATGATCCGCTAGGGGGCGCTGTGTGTCTGAGGCAGATTTCTCAAGGATAAAAGAGCAGAACTAGATTGATATGAGAGCAAATAACTGTACAGGTGAGGGAAATGATGTGCATAACATATTTATTATTATTTTTAAAGGAATATTTCACTGAGAGATGTGAATTCTGTTATTATTCAGTCACTCTCGTGTCATTTAAAGGGACAGTTCACCCAAAAATTACAATTCTGCAATCACGCCATTCCCAACCTGTTTGCAAACCCTGAACACAAAAGAAGATACTGTGATCACCAAATACTTTCGGCTCCCTTTTACCTTCTTTTGTCTTCATACAGGTTTGGAAACATCAGAGGTGAATAAACGATGACAAATTTAATCTTCGGATGGATTATTCTTTTAAAACCTGCATGCTACCATTTTTTTTTTTTCTGATGAACACAAAAGAGGATTGTTTGAAGAATGTTCATGCAGCTCTTTTACATGCATGTTTATAGTCCAAAAAACCCATAAAGCATCCATATGACTTGTGCATTATATTCCAAGCTGTAATATCTTTTTAAACATCCATGCAGGTTTGGAATGATATGAGAGTGAGTTAATAATAACATAATTTTTATATTAAGCTGAATTATTTCTTGGAAGTTCCCCTGTATGCATCAGGCTAATGCATTTTCTAGTTTTCTTCCTTCGTTCTGGGAGCTTCAGTTGCATTTTGGGAGTTTAGGTCATCTTCTGTCAAAAACATCCTCACTTTTGGGGCTTTTTTATACATAATTCTATAAGTTTGATATAAGATTGGCTTCCTGTTTGACACGAATGACCCTTTTCTGTTTCGTTCTGTTGGAGTGATTGTGATGAATTCATAACTAAAGCTGAAGGTTTATTAAATCTAAATAAATGCACACATGTATTCACAAATTCTCCAAGAACTCAAGAAGCTTCACAACGTGGAAATGAGATCTAGCCCATTAAACCTTGATTAAAACCTTTATAAAAATTAGCTCTTTGGTCAAATTTCATATCTTTTTTTTTTTTTTTTTTTTTTTAAAGGGGCATAGATTGGGGATTCCAATTTTTCAAATTTAATTTGTAAATCCCAATTTGCAGAAATTTCATATTTTTTTTTTTTTTTTTTTTTTTTGAACGGTGCTGCTTTAGGGCCAGCATAAATCTTCATTTTCTGGTGCATTCTGGGAATGGCATTTCCCTTGATTCAGTAAGAGCTCAACTCTCTGCCCTTCAACCTCGCAGCTGAAGAGAAGAACTTCAACACGTTCTGGACTCCTTTCATTCCTAACCTTTAACTGCAATAATGCGCTACAGTAGCCGATGCTGATTTATGTAACTAATAATTCTGTAAAGCAGACTGCATTAAACATGCTTGAAGGGCAAACAGGATAGAAAACTAAAATGTTATGTTAAAAATGTGAACGTTTCTGCATTCAGTTTGAGTAATCGTCTTCGTGCTGATGTGAATGCACCAGATAATATATATTTCCAGCAGAAGGCAGCATTATATAGACTTTTCTTTGGCATTTTCATAGTTGTAGTGTTTACTATTATTGCTTATAGTGATATTAGAAATGTTATGAAACACTAAGTATTAAAAACGTGAATGATTCATCAAATCGTATGCTCAAAAAGCAGTTTGGTTAAATTAAGTAAATCGTCTCTATGCAATTACAATACAACTATCTTAATTGTTTTGTTGAACGTTTCTCTGTCAGATAATAAGTAAAAATGGCATTATGTTCATGATCATAAAGGGAGGATGTAGTCCCAACACAAAATGATTACAGTCAATTTTACACATTTAAGTGGATTGTTCACAATGTTCACGAATTATGTTGCTTAAGCTCATTTTAGCAAAATAATAAATTAAAAACAAAAAGAATTACAAACTAAAATATAAATAACAAATAATAAAGAAAATAAACCGCAAAAAGCGAGTCACGAGTAGTAGTATTTTAGTAATACATTTAATAAATTCCTTTTTCGTTTTAAGTTAAAGTACATTTTTAAAGTATGTCTATATAGTTTCTTTTAATTAGTTTTTATTTCAGTTTGTCATTTTAGTACATCAAGTTAAACTAAATGAAAATTAGAAATATTGCATTGACAACTATAGCTGATATAAAATTAGTTTATTATGTTAAATACATATTTTTATATAGTTTTTTTTTATATTTATAATTTTATTTCAGTTGCGGCTTTTTTAATGGTTCTAGTTTAAGTTTCAGTTAACTATAATAAAGAAAGTGATCCAATGCACCATTTTTTATATGTTCCTTTTTCAATTTTAAATTTCAATTTTGTGTTTTTGACATTTACACATTTTTTTTTATGTTTATGTAGTTTTTATTCATTTTTATTTCAGTTTTAGTTATTTTAGTACGTCAAGTTTTATTTCAGCTAGTTGCTGAGGCAACATTTCTAATTTTCATTTCGTTTTTTTTTTTAATGTTTTGTTTAAAATTTCTGTTATTTCATTTAACATTCATTTTATTTCAAGCAACAAGTTTTTTATGGTTTTAGCTTAACTGTAAAAACACTGGAGAAAGTGATCAGACGCACCATTTTCACCTGCTGGACCACAAAAGAGGTGAAAACTAAAAGTCCCATGAACAGACATGCATTGAAACCTGAGCCACATCTGTAGACCAGAAGATCACGGGACGAGAAGAAACGAGTTATGGACGGACAAACGCTACACTTCATTTCTCCAGAAATGTATCCTCTACTTCCGCAGTTCAGCAGTGATTTTGTCACTCGCTCCGCTTCTTCAGGTCTGTGATGTGTCACCTGAGCTCTGAGTAACAGCTGTCCACTCCTGCACTGGCATCTCTGACCACATCCTTACTGGAAATCAGCCTGTGTTTACATGCATGGAGGGAAAAACGCTGGAAATCATCTGCTGACTGAAGAGATCCAGATAAGCTCTCATGGCATTGCAGAAAGTGCTATTTTTATTGACACAACTGCGGTGCTTCTGGCTCACTAGTTTAGTTTGTGACTGCTGTTAATTAGTTGTTTTTGTTTAATATTAAATCAGCCTATTTTAGACCATTTAAAGGAATAATTCACCAAGAATAGTTCTGATTTGTTCCAACTTGACAGAATAGCACGATGCCTCTGATTGCGTCGTGTGAGGAACAGATCAAATTTAAGCTTTTATTCACTGATAATCGCTTTTTTTGTTATTTAATACATTTTATTTCATTTCAGTTAACTTTTTTATTTTAAGCTACATTTTTATTAATTTTATTATAGTTTTAGTTAAGTACATCAAGTTAAACTGAATGAAAATGAGAAATGTTGCTTTAGCAACTAAATGAAATAAAGTTTTTGTTGTTGTTTTTTATATTTTATTACCATGTCTATTTTTTTCAAATGTAAGTAATATAATTTTAAATCTAATACTTTTATTTTAATCCTACTTTATATTTTAATAATGTTATTACAGTTTTAGTTATTTTAGTACACAAAGTTAAACTGAATGAAATTAGAAATGTTGCCTTGGCAACTAGCTGAAATAAAGTTTGTTTTTTAAATATTTTATTAACATGTCTAATTTATTTCAAGTTTAAGTCTAATATATATTTTATTTCATTTCAGGTTTATTTCAATTAACAACAATATTTTTAATAGTTTTAGTTAACAATAACAGCACTGGTATAAATTGCAAAAAAAAAATCTGATTATATTTTATTCTATTTCAATTTAAATACTTTTAGTTAACAGTATAACAAACTACATTTTAGCAGTATTTTGCTGTAAAATGACATGAAATGCCCAATTAGATCTATTACAGCTTTTTATTATATATTTTAAGAAAGCCTACTGTTAACCAACAGGTTTTTACTGTAGTATTTCAACAGTGAATGTCATGCAACATATTTGTATTTTTACATTAATTGAAGTTAAATGTCTTGAGTGCCATTATTCTCTGATGTAAGAGGAGTTTGCTGTCCTTCAGTGGATCGAGTCTGGAGTGATTTCATCGGTCTGTGATGCTGAATGTGAACTGATGGAGCTTCTCAAGGCCGGAGGAATGGTTGGATGGACCTGAACGTGTGTGTGGCTGAAGGTCTGACGTTCTGTATGCTTTGCATGAACCTTCAAAGCGCTGAGATCCCCCTCCAGATTATATAAATCAGCAGCCACAGCTGTAACTCCAGCGCAGCAGACGGCTGAAGGACACAAGCTTAGTCTCTTCAAAGTCTGATTGGAATAAAAGAAGATGGAATATTATTTGCAGAGGATTTGTGTTTGAATCAAACTTGAGTCTCATCTGGGTTTGTTGCACGGCTCGATTTTACTTTGGACATCCATAGGCGAACCAAAACTGTACTGAAATGAATGCAGAAGTGCAAGCAAATATATGTGGGGACATAACGGCAGACAACAGACATTTCATTGTTTGAGCAAAATTATTGCTAGGGATAATTTAGTAGTGGCTGGATATTGGTTGGGACATGTCACAGCATCTCTACCAAATTCTACACCAAAAAAAATCATAACAAGCAATGTCCGACTTTGAAATCTATAGTTATCTCCTTAAATATGAAGAGCTCAAACAACAGATTAATGAGTTTCTCCAAATTTCACAAAAATCTTATGGATTATGATATAAATCAGACACTGAAGTGAATTGCTGTTTTTGTCTTATCTGAGGAAGATTCATTCACTTGTTTGGCAATGCTATCTAAATTTCACATACATAAAAATCTGGATCTAAATCTCTTTTCTTTATTCAAAGTTGATCTAGAAAAGTACATGGAAACTATTCAAAGTTCTGTTAATCCTAAAGCAGTGAAAACCATAGTTTAACCATGGTATTTGTAGTAAAACTGATTTTACTAAAAAAACATGGTTACTACACTTTTACTTTAATAAAACCATGGTAAATTTTCTGAAGGGATTTGTATTTGTGTATACTTTCTCTTTTTTCTTTTTGTTTTTTATAACTGTACTGTCTTAATGGTTTGGTGTTGGCTTTCTATTAATGCAACACAATGAATCACAGCCGTCTACAGTCTCCCCGTGGCTTACATTATTAGCAGTTTAACGTTTAGCGAGTAATTTACACCAAAACTAAAGATAACATATATGCTTTCATGTCCGAAAACATTATTTTTGTCTTACATGTCATAAGTTCCGATCTGAATCAAAAGATTTGCGAATCAATTCCGAAGTTTCGAACTGAACCAAAAGATTCGCAAACTCGCTCCGAAGTTCCGATCTAAATCAAACGATTTGCGATCCATGCTCCGAAGTCCCATCTGAATAATGATTCACGAACCATCATTTCAAATCAGGACTTTAGAGTGCGGATCGCGAATCATTAAATTTGTGGAATGATTCGTGAACCCACTCCGAAGTTCTGATCTAAATCGAATGATTCACGAACCTGCTCTGATTGTTCCGATATGAATCAAAGATATGCGAACCCGCTCTGAAGTTCCGATCTGAATCAAAAGATTCGCAAACCCCTCCGAAGTTCAGATCTGAATTAAATGATTCGCGAACCTACTCCGAAGTTCCGATCTGAATCAAAAGATTTGCAAACCCGCTCCAAAGTTCCGATCTGAATCAAAAGATTTGCGTACCCGCTCCAAAGTTCCGATCTGAATCAAAAGATTTGCGAATCCGCTCCAAAGTTCCGATCTGAATCAAAAGATTTGCGAACCCACTCCGAATTCTGATCTGAATCAAAAGATTTGCGAACCCGCTCCGAATTCCGATCTGAATCAAAAGATTTGAAAACCCACTCCAAAGTTCCGATCTGAATCAAAAGATTTGCAAACCCGCTCCAAAGTTCCGATCTGAATCAAAAGTTCCGATCTGAATCAAAAGATTCGCAAACCCGCTCCGAAGTTCTGATCTAAATCAAATGATTCACGAACCTGTTCCGATATGAATCAAAGATTTGCGAACCCACTCCAACGTTCCGTTCTAAATCAAATGAGTCACGGTCC